TCCCTCAAAAGTTGTTAGTGTTTCTCTGCATTTTTGTATACTGATAACAGCCGCAGTGGACGAAACGGAGACAGTCAATGAAACACTAGTTGAATTAATGTCAAGAAGCTTCATGGAAGTATTTCATGTGATACCATTAGGACGTCCTGACGAACGTACGTTCATCGCAAGTTGGACGATTGCAGAGGAGTTGCTTGAAGGCGGATGCAGTGATATTTAAGAATAGTGCTGATGAGATATTGTAATTCTGATCCAATTGCGGGTTCCCAAGATTCTATTTACAAAAAGAATAGAGAAAGTAGGGCGGCAAACCAATGCACAATTGCACATTAAGGAAGTTAATTACATGGTGTCATGCTTACTATTATATGTATAGTCCTAGGTATCATATATTTATTCTAACTAAAAATATGCTATTCACTGCGTTTTAGTAGTGCTTTTTTTTGAAGGGTTTCATCTGAAGATGTCTCCATTAGTGATGGTAATAAGTGAGAAGTATATTTGGACATTTTAATTAACGAAATAGTCCTAATTGTTGTAAACTTGTCCGTGGGATGTAATTTGAAGTGTGTGGATTAACCGGTCAGCGTATGATACATACATTTAAGGGACTTATTCAAATGAGAGTTGTGGGACACATTTGTGACTCGGTCAAAATGTTTGGTAGTTTGGATGAGGATGATAACCTTTCTAGCATTTGACTGGACTAGATGTCAACAGGTTGATGGTCCCATATTTTACAGTATTTAATAGAGAAAAAGGTAGCTTGGGTGGATGTTCTAAAAGCTTTCGTTTCAGCACTACGCTTGATTGCGCATACTGTAGTAACTTTCTGGTATGAAACGGATTTCCTCACTAACTTTAAAGGATATTCTGCACAAATTTTTGAAGAAAGATATGAGTTTTTCCGTAAGGGGTCTCATTAAAAGTGGTTGTAGATTAAAGGACGTACACCGGAAGCATAATTCTGACCACATTCCTTATCTAGTAGCCTAGATGTTAAGTACCTCCGTACACAATCTTAATTCTGTCGTCTGCACGAATGCTCCCTAAAATAAGCGAACAGTGTCCTAACAGGGTCGAACGCATGTTTTGTTTGGCAATAATTTAGCCTCGTGGTTATGAAAGTTACGAATTATACAGCCTAGTAGTATTCTGGACTTACGAGTTTGGGTCCCAACATGTTCAGGGAATGTGAGGTCTTAAGATTAACTGGGCCCTAAGTCAGGGACGCTACGGAGACTAAATAGCATCGCATTTTTTCGAGACAACTGAAGACGAATAGAAGGTGCTCCAAAGCATATCCAACCACACTTATCTAAGTTGAATCAGAGATCCCATGTCATGGACCAGGCGGTTACCAGGTCAAGTTCGCTCTGTACCCAGCCTTTGGAAGTAGGGCACGACTTCACATGAGAATGTGTATGCAACCTTTAGATCATCAACATACAAAACGGTTTAGTAACCGAAAAGCATTTGCAGAGATCATCATAACATAAAGGGTGATAAGAAGAGGACTGAGCATGCTACCCCGAACCACACCAGAAGTAATAGGCCTAGGTTTAGAATGCTGAGATTCGATTTTTACAACTTGTGAACGGTGACAAAGAAAAGATTTTATCCAGCCTATTAAGGCGCTAACAAATTTAAGGGTTTGTAGCTTATGGATAAGTAGTGAGTGGTCCACATGGTCGAATGCCTTGGAGATATCAAAATAAAGGACAAGGACTAACTTACGTTGATCACTGCTAGCGGTTAAAAAGTTGAAGAAATCTAAGTGACAAGTCATATATGATCGTGACTTCAAGAATGCACGCTGACTAGATGTGACGACATCATTGTTAAGCATATGTTGGAGAATGTCTTCTTTGACTGCTTTCCCCATAATTCTCCATCCAGATCAACCTAGAACCAGGCATTACTGCGTAACGGTCCGAGTTGCCACACCTCATATCAGTACATCAAGTAGAAAGGCAGTGAGGTGAAACATGAAGATAAGAAAATTCAGTCAGAAGAAATATAAAGTACGAAAAGAGAGAAAGGAAGAAAGAGAAAGTGGTGAGATTTGGTACAGCGTCGTTAAGATGAGGATAATGTATGTATACATCTGCGCCACTGACATCGGTTCTGAGCCATATCACTTAGAGTTAGTGTCCAACCACTGATTCCTCTTGTCCCGCGGACCCCAACCGCAACTGGTTTGATATTCATAGGTCTGTACTTATCAACCTCAGTTTTTGAACCAGATTTGTGTCTGGTCATTATGAAGGACATCTCCCATATATCAAAGTATGTAGAAGTCTCCATGGGTATGGAGTGTAGTTGAAGTAGTAATAACGAGATATCAGGACCCCCATTTGTAAAGAAGTATGAAGTTATTCCGTCGATATCTGTGCTCCTAGAGAACCTAAGTGTCTCAATGACTCGGTTAGTGTTAGCACATATGAACTCAATAGTGCAAATAGGTTCCAGTACTGGAGGGGAGAATTGGTTGCTAGTTTTGACGAAGTTCACATTATTAGTGGAGATTGCTGACGGTAAGTAGTTAGCAGTGAACATGCTATTGAATAATTCACTTCTGGTTTGTTATATACCTTCCATCATGAGTGGGAAAAGGAATATTATGCCTTGGCCGGTCGGATTGCTTCTTTAGAAGTTCCACGAGAGGACATACCTTGGCGGAGCTAGCGAGTGCAGCGGTCTCATCATTTTTTGCTGTTATCTCCTGATAATTACTAATGGAACAAAAGACATTGAGAAGAGATCTAAGCGCCTCAAAGTCATGATACTTGATATAATTTGTCGGAAGTTTGTGCAGTTTTCGACGAGCATCCTGAGATTTAGAAGGCTTCTTTGACAAGTTTTTTCCAGAGGGGGTACAATATCAATGCAGGCGTAGAAATTAGAATATAGCATACTTAATCCCAGTTCTAGATCGACCATGTTGAAGTACATTCTCCATTCACTTTTTCTAATCAACGAACAAGCTAGATCTCCGTCTGTCTTAATATAACTTATGTACTTGGATTGTGAGAGGGTGGAGGCAGCATGTGTAGTGCTGGTTGAAGAAGGGAGTGGTACCGCACACAGTTCCACTGTGTGGTCCTTCGGAACTAACACATGTTGAAAGAGGACGAATATCTCGGCATATAATTAGGTCAAGCACATTCTCACCTCTTGTCACACTAGTGGTAAATTGCTTCCGTCCGAATATATCTAACGTACTAAGGAAACTATCATGTTCAGTAAGGCAAGTATGCGTGTCCCATTTGATTTCCTGTGGATTAAAGTCTCCCAATAAAATCTTGTGGTCATATCGTAGAGAGGATACGTGTTCAAGAGCATCATTGAGTAAGGACTCATCTTCAGAGAAAATCTTAAGTGCAACCAATCAATCAACATAGAACCAGGCATTACTGCGTCACGGTCCAAATTGTCACAGCTCATATCAGTACATCAAGTAGAAAGGTAGTGAGGTGCAACCAAGCAATATCGTTGCATCTTTGTAGTGTACTGTGACTCATAGGGGGGCTTTAATTTTACTTAGCACTACATTTTCCAGCCTGAATACACTCAAGGTGTTTGGAAATTATTTTAGGCAGCCACCTCCTCCCTTGTTTCTCCGATCACATCTAAAGTGTGTGTGCATGTGGATAGTTATTTCATCATCTGGTATGCTAGGGTGACACCGTGATTATATTGTTGTATTGCTAGTTTGCCTATAACAGACCTGGCACTGATGAGAATAATAGATAGGTATGAATAGTAGGAATGCGTTGACGCTTCAAGATCGGTGAAGATGGTCAGAGGTATGTCAGGAGCCCATGTTTGAGTATGATAAGACACTACACAAGTTATCATTATTTGCAGTTTCAGTGGTTGGTGTTGGGATTTAACATAAGCGAACATGCCTAACAAAAGGGACTAACGAACAAAAGCAGGACTGACAGTGGTTTAGTGTTCTCAAAGTTTTGTTATTTGATCAGTTATTAAAGATCAGGAAACATCTGACTGACAAAATCAACGTAGGACCTCGCACAGGAGTGCATCAGTTCAAGTTGCCACACTCCCCAGAAGTACACAAAGAACAAGGGGATAGGAGAGGAATGAGATCAGGGAACACCGAATCACTATCATCTTCATCCTGGGCTACAAGTCTTCTCTAATATCTCAAAAAAACATCGAACATGAATAGCACTCTTGTCTAAACTGAAAACAGTGGTATGGTGTGCGACTGCGTTACCTAAAGTGCGCTTTCACTTTTGTGATCGAGCTGTTAGTTTTGAAATTGTAAGCTCCGTACCAAAGAATGCAGGGTAGTAGGATGCTTGTGGTGTAATAATGGTATTCTTCACAATTTCGAAGGGAACTCTTGTCATTACGTTCAGTCTGTATGGTCTCAATAACCAGTACCCATCGTTTTTAAGAAAGACAGTCACGCGGTTGCATTTGTCTGACTGCCGAATCACTAGCCAAGCCCTATAAACCAGTGAGTGTTATTAAATTGCAGAAGAAATCCTGACTAGTTTACACTTGATGTGTGAATAACTTAGTAGTCGAGTATTCCTGACATGCCCTTGGTGAAACATTGCTGTCCTACCAGTAATCTTCTGATCATTCATCTTTGAAGTGAACCAGTATTCACTATCTTTAATGGATATCCCAAACACTCGTGCATATTGAATGTAGAGGTTTTTCGCTTAAGTCACAAGTATTATGGTGAATCACACTTGCTTATGACGGGATATCCTTATTCAGTTAGTCTATCATAGTGGCTACATTCATGCTCTTCAGTCTAACATTTAAAATATACTGGTAATAAATCGATACGAACCGGACTACACGAATCTTATTGTGCTACTTCACGTTCTGCTATAGTGTAAACGGATTGAAAACAAAACACAACCTCAAAAAATGTGATTTTAAGTTTGATTTTCGATATCCTTTGTAATAAAGTACAGTTGATGAGGAAAGAGGAAGTTCTACTTTGAAAAATAGCTTTACTTGAGACGACGTAAACAAAGCCATGAGTTAACTGCAGCGTGAAAAATCTTCAACTCTCCACTGTAATATGGAATATGCCAACCATTATCTACGTTACCATGTACACGCAGGTCGCACTTTGAAGGTTTCTAAAAGAGAGACCAAGTAGAAGTACTTAAGTACAATTAAGCTAGATGAAACAGCAAGGGATTTCTCAAAAGATATGCTTGTAAGGTAGTAGGTTCAAGCAAATTAATATCTTAGCGCTGGCTACTTAGTGTACGTCCAAGCAATAAAAACGGCATGCAAAGTTAACTAGCAGTTAGGGGGGATAAAATGAGGCGCTGATGCGACTTAAAAACGTACTCTGAGATAAGACCGTTGATAAAAGCTAATCTAATAAATCATTTTTACTGTGACTCCACAGAAAGTAGGATGGTGAGACATAATTTATGGTATTTATCTTGGCCTGATAACTAAAGCGATACGACCACTGATTGTATGGATACTCTTTGGGTATACGACATAATTTGTGGAAATTGGAGATGTCTAGCCAGAAGTACTTGCTTGCATGTGATAGTTAAATGTTTCTTAGCATTTTCATCCACTATTCCTCTCCTATTTTACCGAGACTGATATAATAATGCTATTGGTTATCATTTGAAAAGCCATGTGACTGTAACTAAAGGTATTTTAACTGCTGCATGTTTCAGCAAACCTAATTATACGATCATGATACCTTATAAAGTCTGTTTGAAGTTAAATCCTACGACCCATTTCTATAAGATTTTCACGGACATACAATCATCCCTGTCTGCCCCAATGAATTTATTCTCAGCCATTCGGGTGTACGTTTCACCATTTCCTGTTCACAGTTCGACGACCCTTCCCAATATGTGTATCTAGACATACAAATGAATTCATGTACAGTACTTGCCTATGTAGCATGATGCTCATGTTGGGGCGGTGGATTTTTTTAGTTGAATGAAAAGTCTGACTAATTTATGAGACGAGACACTGAGATATCGACCTTTGGTAGTTTTGCGTCGACTGGTGAATTCCAAAAGATGTTTTATTCACTGATGTCTTGGTTAAGTTTGATTCCTTCCTGTGTATCTATTTTGCAGATATATTAGTTGCTCTTAAATAAATACTTAATCAGACCCCGTCTAGAATGCAGTGGACAGAAACTGTAGGAATGAAGTTGTCTGGTCCAAGTACGTTCGCTGTAAAATGATCTAATCAGCAGTATGTCCGGGAAATAGAGATAATAACAGTTTTCCACTTCGCGAGATAAATTGGTACAGCTTCATGCGGTGTTGACTTTCTCTGATAAACATGATGCATTATCATGCCTGTTGCATATTACTACGGTGCAACAACTGACACAGTATCCCTTGAACGGAAACTTATCTAAAACTAACCTTTCAACATAAAAAGGCAGCATCCCTAGGAATGCCAGATGACCAATGGAAACGAATCTTGTCCTAGTGCATCTACTTAGCTGACAGTACTGAATTCACTTACACTTTCTAATCACATCACAATGATTACTTCTGATCGAAAAACTTACTTTGCATAGGAAGATCTGGAGAACAGTCGTTCCATAGGGTACAGTTGCTGAATATCAATAAGGGACGTGGCATTACTGCGTAACAATCTAAGCTGACACACTTTAAATCACTTCGTCAAAATAAAAAGGAACAAGATGAAAGACAGAAAAAGAAAACTTCTGATGACCTTAGAGTCATTAGAAGGAAAGACGAGGTGGCAAAACAATGAGGAGGTGCGATATGAAGATTACTATGGAGAAAGTGTACACATGCATCTGCACCATTGAGATTAGTTTTAAGCCGTATCGCATAATCTCTAACCACCAGTTTCGGTTATTACTTGGACTCTGACTAAGATGTCGACAGGGCTCGAACTCACAGTCGGAAGATTCATGAACTGATGCCACGTTTTTATTAGGCCAGTACAACCTAATTAGGTCAAAAGGTTAGGTAATTATGGTGACTAGTTACTGAGTGCACAAACGACGACCTATTGAAAAAAAATGTATAAAAACGACTTCCTGTTTGGTAAACTAAGCCAATATAATGGTTCTTTGTTCGCTACAGTGATTATAAAACAGGAGTACACGACAGCACTTAACTCAGTTGATTGGTAGTGAGTTCATCTATTAATTTTGAAAATGAATAGTTACTGAAGTGCAGTCTCTACCTCGATTTATTGTTCAAAAATACACTTGCCTGATAAATTGGACCGCTGTTCAGAAGTACAATTTGTCTAAGCGACTGCCATCTAGAGATTTTTTCTCCTAATTCCGGACCTGATGAAAAACGATAGTTAGTAAATTGATCCTGAGACAAGATATAACATTGTGGACCAGATTTTAAAGCCATATAAAGGAGGAATGCATCGTCCTCAGACCTAAAAATTCAAAAACAACCATGAGAATACAAAGGGAAGATTCCGGCTTTAAGATTACATAAGTGATTTTTTAAAAGAAACCAAATTTAATGCAACTGTGAATAGTTGCATAGCCAAATATAGATTTGAGGGTTTGATGCTAGCAACAAACCTTTGTCGTTGTGGAAAACATTACTTCAGTTGGTATTAAAAATTAGAAGAGAAACGTGGAAGGATTCAAAATGATTAATGTACTTATATTATAGTCATTATTTGTCCCTTGGGTTCCTAATGGAACATAGGGCTTCCGTAGCACGTCTCCAATGCTCTCTGTTCTCTGAAATCTTTTGGACCTGGTCCCATGACAGCCCAGAAGCTCTCATTTCCTCCTCGAACCACCTCCTATATGTCACCCTCGGCACCGACGCCCAACTCGTCGCTCCCCATCGGGGTTCCACCCGAGGGCCTGGCGCGTGATGTCCCCAGTCGGCCTTCTCAGTGTATACCCAATCCATCTCCACTTCCTTCTGCATATTTGTTGAGTGACAGGTTCTTGGTTGGTTCGTTGCCAGCCAGCCAGCCAGAGTTCCCTGTTGCTTATTCTTATTATTTCTGACCATCTAATCTTCAGTAACGAGCCAGCGTAGGGGGTAGTTGTTGATGAATGTCTGTAGTTCATTGGAAATCCCTTTCGTGACGCGCCAAGTCTCTGAACCATACAGGAGCACTGACTTGACTGAGGTTGGTGTTGAAAATCCGGATGTTGTTCCACATGCTGAGTGCAGAAGGTCTCCACACTGGTTTCAGGCTAATGAACTCCTGCCTTGCTGTCTTCCCGATCCTGACTCTGACGTCCTCGTCTGTCCCACCTGTAGTTGAAACAGTGCTTCCTAGGAGAGTGGGTGAAGGAGGTTACTTCCTTTAAGTTTCTCCCGTTGATGGTGATTGGAGTTTGTTATTGTTGTTGGTTGGGTATCTTCATCACCTATGTCTTCTCTGCCCTGCCTCTTCTGTGAACTTGATAATTTTCGCCTGTAGATCTTCATATTTGTGTGACATTAGACATAAGTCATCGGCGAAATCTAAATCTTCTACGTTCTCTTACGCGGTCCAGCGTATGCCCCTCATATCGTGCCTCATTGTTTGTTGCATGATCCAGTCCACTAGACGAAGTGCAGGTGGTCGATTCAAGAGCTTCTTGAAGTGGACAGCCCATTGTTGCCTTTGTTTCTCCTCTTTGGTAATTAAATTTCCGTCATCATCTTGTATTGGTTTCATCAGTGTTGATCTCTTCCCAGACAGCAAGTAACCTGCTTATTTGATACAGTGTTGTCAGGTCTGTATCTCTCCTACCTGCAGCCTGTTCTGCTCCATTTGTCAGTGTTTCGTAGAAGTCTCCATTGTCTTTCCGTGCACTCTTCTTCACTTCGTTGTCCTGCGTTTTGTGCGTTGTACTCGGTTCCTCTTCTCGTCGTTCATCCTTGCACTGCACTAGTTTATCTTCCGTTTCACCATCCTCCTCTCCCTCCTCCATCAGCTTCCAAGTGTCCGTCGAGATCCATTCCTTATCTTCTTTCTTTCTCCTCCCTCATACGGCTGTGCAGGTTTCTTTCCACATAGCCCTCAAAGACTTCCAGTGTTCTTCCACAAGTTTCTTCAGAGATGTTGCTCGACATCCATTTTTTTCCTGATCGCTGACATGAAGATTCCCTTTGTAGTATCGTCCTTCACTCTCTGTTCTGGGTGTTGAACTTGAACTGTGGTCGTCTATGGCCGGCTGTTTTGAAGGCTTTCAACTTGATTTACAAGGTAGATTCCTTGCACTAGATAGTGGTCTGAGCTAACATCTGCCCCTCTTCTTGACCTTGTGTCCAGTAGGCTGGCTGCGTCTCCACTTTCTTCACACTGAGATTGAGATGAAGACTATCTGATTTTTGGTGTGTTCTGGGGTCTGGTGAAATCCATGTGGCTCGCTTTGTGGATATCCTTGTGCCTGAACACACTACCTCCAATCACCAAATCGTCGAATGCACAGAATTCTGCAAGCAATTCTCCATTCTCGTTCATCACCTCACCGAGCGCTTCTCGACCCATGGTTAGTTCTCTTCCTGTGTTGTCTGCTCCTGGTTTAGCATTCATGTCGCCCATTATAATGGATTTTGATGTCGCCAACTGTGGTGGGGTCTCGTCCAGTACTGATTGGAGTTGTCTGTAGAATGCCTCCTTCTTCTCTTCATCTGCACTATTTGTAGGTGCGTGGAGTAGCATTGTATGATTGTGACCTTCCTTCCTTTCGAATTGAATCCATCTTGGTGTCACCATACTGATAGTAAAGGAGATTGGTTCCCACTGCATGAGAGAGAGCCTTCGATGCTGTTCGGGACGTCATGATAGCCACTCGAAAACTCAGTGTGCTCATGGTTGTCGTCTGGGTGAGAATATCGGAGTAGATTATTAACTCCTCTCCAGTTGACAGTTTGGAGAGTCCACTTCCATTCCATCTGCTTTCGCAAATTCCTAGCACTTCTATCCTATACCTTCTCATCTCGTTTGCAATCCGGGCTGCTTGCTGAGTTATAACATGGTACGGACATTCCATGTCCCCACGTTTACTTTCGCTTCCATCACGAGAAGAAACATCGGCCAATTAGCTTCCTGAAGGCAGGCTTTCATCTCTCTGATTCCAGCGAGGAATAATTTTGTTATTATTTTTATATTTTGTTTGTGCTTGAAGTTTTTTTAGCGGTTGGATTTGTTTTACGGGGTAGGACTGCTAGCTCTAAGCCCAGCCTTCCCTCTTCACACGGGCTTAGGACCGGCTGGTAACTTGTGAACTAGTTGGCCAGGTGGGGATGGTTAAGAGAAGTTAGGCCATCAATATTCAACAGCAATAGTGCGACTACAGGAAACTGTTAAATTCGATCTCTCACATCCACTTTTAAGGGCTTCGTTTCCTCCATCCAGGTGCCTACCGTACAGAAGTTCAAAATAATCATACTCAAAAGGCTGAGTGTTACAGGCCTCAAGCAGATGTCTGATGGGCTCAACGATCACACAAATCTCTTCCAGGCGTAGACTCAGAAAAAGTCTACGCCACGACCGCGAATAGTGGTGAATAGCGAAGTCGATTGGTAACAGTAGATAGTTATTTAGACTGGAAAAAAGGTCGACTGCGGTTAGTGAGGCTATAGTGGAGTAGGACGGATCTACGACTCACTTGGAGGGGAGACGACTGGAACGATGGGCAGAACACTTCGAGGAGCAGTTTAACTGGCCTCCAACCACCATTGCGTTGCCCGCTATCCAGTCGAATCCTGAATGGGACATTGAGATAGGTTCCCCAACACTAGAAGAAGTTGAGAAAACGGTAGATAACCTGAAACGAGGAAGGGCAGCAAAACCAGACGGACTACCTGCTGAGGTATAAAAGGATAGTGGTAGAGTGCTCTTAGTCAGGTTAACGGAAGTGTTAGCCAGTATATGGAAATCAAATACGATCCCCTCCGACTGGTCTAAGTCACTCATCATCCCAGTCTTCAAGAAAGGTGAGAAGTCGTCTTGTGATAACCACAGAGGAATCAGCCTGACAAACATAGTGTCCAATATCCTGTAATTCTTCGACGTTTGAGGAAACCAAGCAGGCTTTAGACCCGACCGCGGGTGTATCGACCAAATATTCACACTGCATCAGGTTCTGGAACATAGACACACTTACCGACACCCGACAATAGCTGTATTTCTCGACCTGAAGGCGGTATTCGACTCCGTTGATCGAGAAGTTATATGACAATGTTTCTCACTATATGAAGTAGGGTAGTGAGTAAGTACATCATCCTCATTGAAGGCACTTTACTGTGGACGTGTTAGAGCCTATGGTGAGATTTCCAGGGAGCTATGCTCATCGAGTGGTGTCCGTCAAGGCTGCCCACTGTCTCCATTCTTAGGCATGTCTCCCTCTCGTCACCAGGTTACACAGACGTTGACTTGATCACAGGTGGATTTTCGTTAGACCTAGAATATGCAGATGACATAGTCATGTTAAGTGAAGACGCTGGCAAGACGCAGAGTCTTCTGAACACTGAGTGGGAATTTGAGAATGTTTGGGATGCGGTTCTCACCACCCAAATGCAAATTGTTGCTACAAGATTTGTCTTTAGCGGTGCCACGGTTAACAACAGAGTGAAGTAGTTGTGTGTCGACCACTTCACTTACCTGGGAAGTAGGATCAACCGTGGTGGGTCAGTGGCCGGTGAAATCTCTGCACGAATACAAAAGGCTCGGTTGGCTTTCGCCAATTTACTCCACCTATGGCACCTCCGTGATATCCGTTTGTCTACTAAGTGTCGCGTGTACTGCACAGCAGTCCAGTCTGTTCTACTGTATGTCTGTCAAACATGCCCATTGAAGGTGGAAGACACGAGAAGGCTTCACGTGTTTGACCACCGTTGCCTTCGTAGTATAGGCCATATTCCGTGGTGTCACCGCACCACGTGAGTAATGCAGAAGTCAGGTATAGAGTTTTAGGTAGTAGAGGTAAATCAGTTGACGAGACTATGAACCTTCATCGACTGAGATGGTTGGGACACGTATTACGAATGCCCAGTCACCGATTGCCTCGTCACACAATGTTGACCGAAGTAGGTTCAGGCTGGAAAAAGGCCCGAGGCGACCAGATCAAAACATGGCACCAATGCATGAAGTCTCTGACTGTTTGTTTGAGCCATGTGGGGCGATGCAGACTCGGTGGTTGGGGTCCGCCGGACAAAAGAAACCAGTGGTTAGAGACTGTTGGTGATATGGCTCAGGACTGATGTCAGCGGCGCAGATGTATACATACATTATCCTCATCATAACGACGCTATACCTAATCTCGCCATTTCCTCACCCTTTCTTTCTCTCTTTTCGTAATTGATATTTCTTTTGGCTGAATTTTCTTATCTTCATGTTTCACCTCACTACCTTTCTTCTTGATGTACTGATATGAGGTGTGGCAACGCAGTAATGTCTGGTCTTATGTTGACATCGATGATGATGATATTCCGAACAGATTCAATACACACGTTTAACTGAAAGCTAACGTCGTACGCAAGAGCCACTGACTGCAACGCGGGACGAATTAAGAGAAGACCAACGCTGGGTGATGAGAGGGTTTATTCCTCCGAGAATATAATAATCAATCCAAAAACACGTGAATATGTATACACATGAAATATGACCTCGTCCGCAATTTGAGACATTTGCATAGCAAGATTTAAGATTAACCAGTCAGCGAATTACATTACAATATGGGCAGGAAATGAACTACTAGTCATGCTGTCAAAACCGTGTGAGAATGACAAGTTAAAATGTTCAAATCAATAACAATGTTTTATGCAAACTCCGGCCTTCCAATAAACGAATTGCCTCTTACGAGCAGAAGATTTACTATGACAATTTATCTCTGCTAGGCGATGGTTGAAAGTGAAATGAAAATCTTAGTCGATGCCTCATCATCATCATCATTATCAACATAGGACCAGGCATTACTGCGTAACGGTCCGAGTTGCCACACCTCATATCAGCACATCAAGTAAAAAGGTAGTGAGGTGAAGGATGAAGATAAGTGAATGCAGTCAAAAGAAATATAAAGTACGAGAAGAAAGGAAAGAGGAGTGACAAAATAGTGAGATTCGGTATAGCGTTGTTAAGATGAGGATAATGTGTGTATACATCTGCGCCACTGACTTCGGTTCTGAGCCATATCACCTAGGGTCTCCAACCACTGGTTCCTCTTGTCCCGTGGACCCCAACCACCTAGTCTACATCGTCCTACATGGCTTAAACCAACAGTCAGAGACTTCATACATTGGTGCCATGTTTTAGTCTGGCCACCTCGGGCCTTTTTCCAGCCTGAACCCACCTCAGCCAACATTGTGTGACGAGGCAATCGGTGACTAGGCATACGTAGTACGTGTCCCAACCATCTCAGTCGATGAAGGTTCACAGTCTCGTCAACTGACTTACCTCTTCTCCCCAAAACCCTACACCTAACTTCTGCATTACTCACGTGGTGCGGTGACACCACGGAATACGTCCTATATTACGAAGGCAACGGTGGTCAAATACCTGTAACCTTCTCATGTCTTCCACTTTCAATGGCCATGTTTCACAGCCATACAGTAGAACAGACTGGACTGCTGTGCAGTACACGCGACCCTTAATAGACAAACGAATATCACGGCGGCGCCATAGGTGGCGCAAATTGGCAAAAGCCAATCGAGCCTTTTGTATCCGTGCAGAAATCTCATCGTCGATGCCTACAGGAAAATGTGTGCAGTCAATGTCACGACAATCAAAGGAAGCTACAAATCACACAGCACTTCGTCAGAGCACGGTTAGTGAATCACTTATCGAGAAATTCTGATAGTTTACTACATAGTGAAGTTAGTGTTGATGGTGTTTTAAGAAAGACAATGAAGGGTTTACGACTAAACCATGCAGTTCAGAGAACACGACACCATCAAAACCCTTCTCATGAGCTACAGATATTCTGCACCACTCTGGTGATCAACACGGTACTCCCCCTTTCTTCTAATTCAGCTCAATTGATACTGGGATGAGAAGACCTGGTTGGACAGCCATTACGATTAAGATGAACGAACATAATTTATAGCAGACTCATAATGCAGCAGAGCCATCGGTGGTATAAGGAAAATTAATACCTTGTTTGCAGCTGAACTGATGGAACTTCTTGTTCTGGGTTCCCTTATCCTTCTTCCAACCCAATCCTGATTTGTCTGCCATCACATGTTTCAGCATGCGCAACACGTGTGTCTAGATCGAATCAGTTAGTGAAGGTCCACTTCATCAAGTGGTTGGCTTCCTAGCCTACTACTCTGGGTCTGATCCTAAAAACTTCAATTGATCTGTGCCACAATGAAACCATTCTCTGATATAATAATTTCCGACTCAGTAAATCCTAAAACTTATAAACTTGGAAACTGAAACCACCTCGAGAGAAATAAATACTTACGTGACATTTGTACAAAATTTATGAACAGATATTCCTAACTGATCTCCTAATGTTTTGATCACCTCCCAAAATCGCCGGTTGTGTAAAATTGTATTTCCTTTGCTGACAAAACAAAAACGTCGCAGATTGAAGTCTCTGTTGAGTTTTCTAAGGACCTAAATAAACAAATTTCGCATAGAAAAAGAATACTTCCAATGGAAGGTTGTCGGTTTACTTGATCGAATATCAAACTACAGAGTTCGCAAATTTCTAAGTTGCAATTTAGGAAATATAAAACTAAGGTTTTATATCTATGTCCAAAAATGCTTTCACGACTGTCGGCAGAAGTGGAAGACATCCACTAATCAAACAGCTCGAGCCAGTATAACAACGGAGAATTACAAATATATCAACAGACAGTAAAATCCACTAGTCGTTCACAAAACCGTATAATTTTGTGCAGCAAGAAGTTATCTGCCAACCGGTAACATTGTTAAGCAGGGAAGTTGAGCTACGTAAGGCATTTTCCGTAGGCTATGCTGAACTATGTCCAATTCAGTTGAAGACAAACACTCAAGTAAAAGATTGCCACTCTCGCTAAACGTAATTTTCATGCCTCAGCTTTACACCACCGAAGAGAGTCTATGAATTAAACTCACCGTTGAATACGTCTTGGGATAAATATAATTTGTCTTCAATAATGCAAGGGCTAATAAAAGAGGGTGAAGTAGTTGAGTGTGTCGACCACTTCACTTACCTGGGAAGTAGGATCAACCGTGGTGGGTCAGTGGCCGGTGAAATCTCTGCACGAATACAAAAGGCTCGGTTGGCTTTCGCCAATTTACTCCACCTATGGCACCTCGTGATATCCGTTTGTCTACTAAGTGTCGCGTGTACTGCACAGCAGTCCAGTCTGTTCTACTGTATGTCTGTCAAACATGCCCATTGAAGGTGGAAGACACGAGAAGGCTTCACGTGTTTGACCACCGTTGCCTTCGTAGTATAGGCCATATTCCGTGGTGTCACCGCACCACGTGAGTAATGCAGAAGTCAGGTATAGAGTTTTAGGTAGTAGAGGTAAATCAGTTGACGAGGCTATGAACCTTCATCGACTGAGATGGTTGGGACACGTACTACGTATGCCCAGTCACCGATTGCCTCGTCACACAATGTTGACCGAAGTAGGTTCAGGCTGGAAAAAGGCCCGAGGCGACCAGATCAAAACATGGCACCAATGCATGAAGTCTCTGACTGTTTGTTTGAGCCATGTGGGGCGATGCAGACTCGGTGGTTGGGGTCCGCCGGACAAGAGAAACCAGTGGTTAGAGACTGTTGGTGATATGGCTCAGGACTGATGTCAGCGGCGCAGATGTATACATACATTATCCTCATCATAACGACGCTATACCTAATCTCACCATTTCCTCACCCTTTCTTTCTCTCTTTTCGTAAATGATGGGGTCTGAAGGCGAAGTCGTACTGCTGCTAGCTGGATGGGGTGTGACAGCAGTAAGGTGTTTCCCTTGGATGACCAGCAGTGCCAAGCTGATGCTGCCTTCTCAGTGGAAGGGGGGTTAGAAAAGGTCGGCCCCAAAAATAACACACTCCACCACGCCCCACGGTCTGCCGGGCCGGCGGTGTTGGTTCACTTGTCGTTTCCTTTCGATCATCCGGCCCCAAAAATACAAAAATTCAAAATAATCATACTCAAAAGGCTGGGTGTGACAGGCCTCAAGCAGATGTCCGATGGGCTCTGCGGTCACACAAATCTCTTTCAGGTACCTTAAGAAGAAATAGCCTTCCACGGTGTGGGCAGCCGGGAAGTGTCAACCGCCCTCACAACTCTGTCAGCACCCAAGTTTCTTCTGACTGCTATCCTCCTCCTCCATCATTACCTTCTAATCTTCCTTCACGTCTCTTAATTAATGATGCTGCATCATCTTCAATTTCTCCTACCTCTGCAGCCTTCGACAACGATCTGAGTCCACAGAACAGCATCCCTGGTCTCCTTAAACCACGCTCCAAATTACATATTGGAGCCTTCAATGTCCGCACCCTCCGTCAAATTGGCCAACAGGCTTCGTTGGCAAAGACTCTAGCAACTCGGGCATGGATGTGTGCTGTGTTTGTGAGACACGCATACAGGACCCAAGTGTGGTTATTCACCTGACCTCTCCTGACCAATCTGGTGAATCTGCAAAATTCACCCTTCGAGTTTCTGGAGATTCGATAGCTAGCTCTCGTGGTCTTGCAGGTGTAGGTATAGCATTAAGCACCAGGGCAGAAAACTCACTACTAGACTGGATCCCAGTTGATAGTCGCCTCTGCGCTATGAGGCTGAACGGCACAGTGAGAACTAAAAGGAATAGTGAGACTCGCCGTTGTCTCTTTGTAATCTCTGCTTACGCACCCACTGACTGTAGTTCGGATGAAGTGAAGGACGAGTTCTACCATAAACTGTCTAACCTCCTCTCGAAAGCCAAACGTTCGGACGTAGTGGTTGTTGCAGGTGACCTCAACGCACAGGTGGGTAGACTGAGTGAGGCAGAAAGGCACTTAGGTGGCACTTTCGGAATCCCAGCTGAACGTACAGATAACGGTGATCGCCTATTACAACTATGCTCAGATAACCGCCTATTTTTAGCCAGCACAAATTTCAGACATAAAGAAAGGCACTGTCTGACCTGGCGTCCACCGAGCTCGACTCAGCGATGGACACAGATAGACCACATTGCTATTAGTCATCGCTGGAGAGGATCGGTGGAAGACTGCCGCTCCTTCTGGAGTACGTGTTTGGACAGCGATCATGCGTTGGTCCGAGCACGTATATGCCTGCGTCTCAATGGACGTAGAAAAAATTTGGCAACAAAACCACTACGAGTTCTGCTGGACAACGAAAACACCAAAGCCGTGTTCAGTGAGAAGTTGGCTAGGCAGTTATCGGAACAAAAGACTGTCACTCATCCAGAAGAAGCTTGGTGCCATCTTCAGTCTACTGTAAAAGCAGCACTGGAGACTGTAGCCGACTCCAAGATAATGGCTAAAAAGAGCCAGTGGATATCAGCAGCTTCTTCCAAACTAATGGATGCACGTGAATGCATCCCTGCAGGCTCTGAGTACAATGAAGAGCGAGCGCAACTTAAAAATAAACTGACGAAAAGTCTGCGCAACGATCGTGAACAGTGGTGGGCAGCAAAGGCTAAAGAGATGGAAAAGGCAGCGGCGATCGGTAACAGTAGACAGTTATTTAGACTTATTAAGGAGACTGGGGGGAAATGGTCAACAACAGTTAGTGAGGTTATAGCGGAGAAGGACGGATCGGCGATTCACTCGCAGGGAAGGCGACTGGGACGATGGGCAGAACACTTTGAGGAACAGTTTAACTGGCCTCCAGCCACCATTGCGCTGCCCGCTATCCAGTCGGACCCTGAATGGGACATAGAGACAGGTCCCCCAACACTAGAAGAAGTTGAGAAAGCGGTAGGTAGCCTGAAACGGGAAGGGCAGCAGGACCAGACGGACTACCTGCTGAGGTATACAAGAATGGTGGTAGAGTTCTCTTAGTCAGGCTAACGGAAGTGTTAGCCAGTATATGGGAATCAAATACGATCCCCTCCGACTGGTCTAAGTCACTCATCATCCCAGTCTTCAAGAAAGGCGAGAAGTCCTCTTGTGATAACCACAGAGGAATCAGCCTGACAAACATAGTGTCTAAGATCCTAAGTTCTATAATTCTCCGACGCCTGAGTGGAGCTCGGGAACAGCAAGCCCGAGAAAACCAGGCAGGCTTTAGACCTGGCCGTGGATGTATCGACCAAATATTCACACTGCGCCAGGTCCTGGAACATAGGCATGCTTACAGACGCCCGACAATAGCTGTATTTCTCGACCTGAAGGCGGCATTTGACTCCGTTGATCGAGAAGTCTTATGGCAGTGTCTGTCACTGAAAGGCGTGCCTAGTAAGTACATCACCTTATTGAAAGCTCTCTACTCGAACACTTGTGGGCATGTTAGAGCCTATGGTGAGTTGTCCAGGGAGCTATACTCATCAAGTGGTGTCCGTCAAGGATGCCCACTATCCCCATTCTTATTTAATTTTATCATAGATATTCTTATGGAGGTTTCCCTCTCGTCACCTAATTACAAAGACGTTGACCGAATCACAGGTGAATTTTCCTTAGATCTAGAATATGCAGATGACATAGTCCTGTTAGGTGAAGACGCTGACAAGATGCAGAGTCTTCTGAACACTTTGAGTGGGAATTTGAGAATGTTTGGGATGCGATTTTCACCACCCAAATGCAAATTTTTGCTCCAGGACTGGTCTTCAGCGGTACCGCGGTTAACAATAGTGGTTGAGTGTGTTGACCACTTCACTTACCTGGGAAGTAGGATCAACCCGGTGGGTTAGTTGCCGATGAGATTTCTGCACGGATACAAAAGGCTCGATTGGCTTTTGCCAATTTGCGCCACCTATGGCGCCGCCGTGATATTCGTTTGTCTATTAAGGGTCGCGTGTACTGCACAGCAGTCCGCTCTGTTCTACTGTATGGCTGTGAAACATGGCCATTGAAAGTGGAAGACATGAGAAGGTTACAGGTATTTGACCACCGTTGCCTTCGTAGTATAGGACGTATTCCGTGGTGTCACCATGTGAGTAATGCAGAAGTTAGGTGTAGAGTTTTGGGGAGAAGAGGTAAGTCAGTCGACGAGGTTGTGAACCTTCATCGACTGAGATGGTTGGGACACGTACTACGTATGCCTAGTCACCGATTGCCTCGTCACACAATGTTGGCTGAGGTGGGTTCAGGCTGGAAAAAGGCCCGAGGTGGCCAGACTAAAACATGGCACCAATGTATGAAGTCTCTGACTGTTGGTTTAAGCCATGTAGGACGATGCAGACTAGGTGGTTGGGGTCCACGGGACAAGAGGAACCAGTGGTTGGAGACCCTAGGTGATATGGCTCAGAACCGAAGTCAGTGGCGCAGATGTATACACACATTATCCTCATCTTAACAACGCTATACCGAATCTCACTATTTTGTCACTCCTCTTTCCTTTCTTCTCGTACTTTATATTTCTTTTGACTGCATTCACTTATCTTCATCCTTCACCTCACTACCTTTTTACTTGATGTGCTGATATGAGGTGTGGCAACTCGGACCGTTACGCAGTAATGCCTGGTCCTATGTTGATAATGATGATGATGAAAAGCGATCCTGTAGAGACAACAATGACCCAGAACGTAGAGTTGTTGAGCATCTTCAGGTCAGAGAAGCTAGTTTTCACAAGTATAGACCAAAACTGCTAGTACCGATGCGTTGTGTGCCCTGACTTTTGAAGTGAGTTTGACATCAAGACGGTGCAAAAGGTGACCTAGATTGGCGAACGCCACTTTGGCCTTCGATATACAATTAGAAATCTTTCCAAAAACTGCCAACGATTTATCATCAAGAGTGACTGTCGGTACAAGGTCCTATCAATCTTGTAGAAGCACTTTTGCAGCGCGTAGCACACACTGCACTTACAGACACTGATCTTCAACTGGTTGAGTGCGATTTAAGTAACCTCCATTTTGTCACATAGTAATCGATTTCGTCCGCATGCACGAGGTCGAAAAGTCTTTTACCTGGTGATAAGTCCACACCACCACCACGCTTCCCCGTCAGAGCTGTCTCGAGAATGGCACTGGCGATGAAGTTAAAAATGAGTGGCGAAATCAGACAGTCATGCATTTCCTTGTTGTTAGTCTGGAACAGCGGAGAATAGTGATTGGATGCTTTCGCTGTCCCTAAGGTGCTAAAAAGTGTATAGGGCTTTAACAATGTTAACAAACTTCTAAGGGTCACTCTTTCTCAGTAGACAGTTCTAAAGAACAACTCTGTCAACAGAATCGAGGAGAGTCCTAATATCGAGGAACGTAACAATCGTTGGCTTGCAATCCCTGTTACGGTGTTTGAGTATTTGACGGAGGGTAACCATGTAAGTAATGGATTCACAGACTACATGAAACTCAACCTGGTCTTCGTAAATCAGTTGCTTGGGGGTTTCGTAGAACATGCAAAGTATGACAGCAATCAATATTTTGAACACTATCGGTGGAAAACTAATAAGCTGATGATTGTCATACATTAGATAGAACACTCAATCTTCTATGCTATAGAGAACAGTGTGGTCAGTACAGTCTCACCTCCATTTTTTTAAAATAGTGGGCACACAGTCTAGGCCGGATGCCAAATGACTGGTACTAATTAAATATGGGCACAGAACACTGAGATCAGTGTTGCTAGGGCAGTAAGCTAGCTGAGCTGCACTTTAAAATATTCCACTCAGTATTTCAAGCGTCTAAAACTGTTGGGGACCGGTGTACTACCTATTTTATATGCGGTCTCACTGACACCAGGATTCTTTCTGCCAGTGGCTTGGATGAACGGGAACAGCTCCCGTTTTTTGACAGATGTAGTTGCTGCTACCATTGCACTGGCGAGTTCTGATAAACAGGTCTTGCGGTTCTTATGCAAATATTGCCTGGCCTGCACTGTAAGGCAATTGCGCACGCCATTGCACTCGGTGTCTGTCATATTTTATCGACGGGCCTCAAGAAGCCGCAAACTGACAGAAACCCACTGTTTGTTAATGAGACGTTCTTCAGAGCGCAAAACAGCCTCATTTGCCACTTTCATGGCGTCTTGCAAGTGCAGCCAACCCTTATCTATACTTTCTAGAGATTCGACAGCTAGCCTAGCTCACTTTGGTATTTAGCTGCAATACCAGATATGGTCAGTGCTCACATTAATCCACTTAGGAAGATTATGATGACTGTCAAGAGACAAGATAAACTAATCAGGAGTTATATCACGATCACAATCCAGAAAGGCGCTCCAAAAGTAGTGGCATTCACAAATACAAACACCATTGGTAGCTGGTTGCAACGTGATCTGTTTGAGTCCAAGTTTAAGTGATAAAGGGAGGATACGGCGATGACTGTGCCGAAAGTTAGTGTTGATTAGAAACAGTTTAAGATCCGTTAAAAGCTGCAGAAGACGTTCTCTATTATCTGACCTTCAGACGACTGATACCCACTGGCTACACGACCCTCCTTTGACCCTAGACGTCCGATCTTTGCATTCAAGTTCACAGCTAACACTACGATATTTGTCAGGCGCAAATGGTAGAGCAGGTAAACCAATTCATCGTAAAACTAATTCTTAACTGCATTCAAGTTGCAGTCAGCTGAGGCATAGACGGAATTAATTAGTCAGTTAGCATTAACGTGGGACTCGGTATTGATGCATAACCGCCCAAGTCGTCACATCTCATATCAGTATATCAAGGTAACAGTTACCAAGATTAAAGATAGAGAAACAGGGAAGAAAAAAGTCAAAAGTAATTGGAAATCGTGTTAAGAACAAGAAAAGCCGAAGCAATAGTGAAATTCGGTAAGATGATTGAGACGAAGACAATATGTAGGTGCATCTGCAACCACTGAAACCGATTCTGATATGTATCACATAGACTATAACATCCGACTTCAGTCATCATGCAGACCCCAGCCAGGAAGTCTCCGATAACAGTATACAATAAAACAGCGAGCAACCTATATGGTGATGACTAATATTATCCGGCTGCACACAGCGAGACAAAATCGAAGAAGAACCTCACACATAAGTGCGTCAGTTTAAGCTGCCAAACTTCACAGTAGTGCACAAAGAACGAGCGGATAGAAAAGGAGTGATATCAAAGTAGTGTGAGAGAATAAACAATCTTAAGATAAAGGTTAGTGCAAATATTCAAGCTTCAGAAAGCGTCAAGGAGTAAATACATCTGCCTCATTATGACCGATTTTTAGCCATGTCGCCAAGAATTCTTAACCACTGATTTCTTTCCTCTCGAGAATCTCAACCAGGGAGTCTACACGCCACAGGTCCCTTTTCAACCTAACAACCTCCCCTAGCGTGGCACGTTGAGGTAGGCAGTGGTTCGACATGCGCAGCATATTTCCAAACCATCTCAGTCGACTAGGATTTACAACCTCATCCACCGAATTGCCTTCCTTTCGTGGTGCCCTTCACCTGACTTCTATCTTGCTCACATGATGATTACACCAAACGCGATCAACGCTGTGAAGATACCTGTGATCGAAAAACTGTAACTGCTAGTTGCACATTAGCAGGGAAGTACAGCAATATCTTAACCTTTAGTTGTTTGGTTAAGAAAATAAATATCTAGACGATAAAGCTGAGAAACAATACGCCCTTTAGTTTGTTAAACTCTTAACTCTGTATTGACAAAACCCTTAGCGGCACAGTTCTGTCAATTTTAACATTCTGTTTAGTATTGAGATTAGATTTTGAAGAAATGAAGTGTTGTCTACGACAAACACGCTTACTTTTATCACTGTGGTGCAGCCTTAAAGTCCCATATAGCACAGAACAACCAGTGCAAACAGCAAAAAGTAAGTGAATTTAAGTATCCAAGTAAGCGAATGTACAGGAAACAATCACTAGTTGTCTAATGCATAATGGATGATTCGTCAGTCCATGTTCCAGTTAAAAAATATTTACTAAACACCTTGAAATGTCTAAAGAAACAGGTTGGTAATCGGTTTTTTGTATTCAAAATAGTACTAGTGTTGATTATTCTATAAAGTAAAATGATGTTTTAACTCTTTTAACAAAAAAAATATGAACAAAGTCAACAACACTAAAAACTGAAGATAAATGACTAAAGCTAACTGAGACGTAAAATTGAAAATATTAAAAAGTTATGACATCTGATCTTTGGAATTTACCCACAACTAAACCCATAGTTCACGACGATAGAAAGTATGTTTTGGATAGAGTACAAGTTCAGAAATTCGATAGGATAAACTTTTTAATAGGACTAAATGAATATGAATATTCTTTTCAAGTGAGATTTTATGTACCATACTAAGCTATGATTTTATTGTCAATCATTTAATAAACGACTCCATTTAACAAGTTATTATGTGAGGGACCACCATACTTACCAATAGTAGGTTTTAATAGGATTGAACGGTAGAGATCTATGTGCCTGTTTCACTAAGATATAGCTTTACAGTGCATATGAAATCACGTAATACTTACACAGTAACGATGAAAATGGTTAAATTTTGTTTAAAAAATTACCTCGGCAACGAAAAATCCTGAAACAGAAAAATTTCTCCGAAGATTTATAAGATTCAGAAAGTCAATAATACAATCTAAAGGTTCTGTTTGAGAGTCAAGAAACCGTTTCACTGTAACAACTTCATCTGACAACCCTGAGATAAACAAATCATCAACATCTGTCCCCTGAAATTTCAAAACAATGTTTTCATAAATGTGATGTTACCTTCAGAACAGTCTCGTAAAATTTATCAGCCATTTCCGAAAACTGGAACTGTGACATATCTGGTAGCGGTAAACTACCGTTGCATACCGAACATGAATAACCTCTAAAAATTTTTTAGATTATGCAACATAGAAACTTAAGAACAAAACATACCTGTCACTAATATGGGCAGATAGATCTCCTACCCAATTCTTACTTGCTGAATTGGAAAACCAGAGTTGAATATGTTTAACGACCGGGGAAGTCATTATCCATCCATGAGCACTTATAAGCTGAAATAACTGGTCAATTAAATTAACAGCTTCCTTCTCTTCTAATCCATTCAATTTATTAAAAAAATCCAAGAAAACAAAATCCTTCGGAGAATGTTTTAGTCGATGCATACACTCAAATACATCAGAGAAGTCATCAAACCTTAAAGCAGACGAACACATATTGTGATAAAAAGATGAAGTGTCACATTCTTCCAACTCCGGAGATAATAATAAGTCTAGTGATTCCCTCCAAAATGGTGTTCTTGATACCAGCCTGATAAATTCACGAAGGAAAACTTTTTTCTCCAAAGGATCCAATCGGACTAACAGTTCCGTGTATAAATTTTTGAAATCTGTATAACGTCTTTGAATAGCTAGAAGACGTAATGTGTTGACTAACGTAGTATTAGTGTGTTCGTGTTTATCGTTCAAAATGTAGTCTGTCAAAGACTTTCTTAGTTCAGGACAATCATTTGACGCAGCATACTGCAAAAGATAAGGCCAAATTGAGGTTTGTGTAGAATTTAGATTGTTCTTCAAACTTCTAAAGTCGTCAATTGAAACAGTGCAATCACCAAGTGACGATAAGGTTGAAAAAATGTAGGATCGTGAAGTTAGAGTACTTGGATTATCAAATAATACCGAAATCTTGCAATTTGAGTTGCAATAGAATGCTCGATGAAGACCGTTAAGGTAGAGTTTGCACAATTGAAATGTTCGATGATGCAACTGATATACTTTGGTCACAGGCATGAATTGGTCAGTTTATGATAACTATAATAGCTCACAGATGAAAGGGAAACTTTGTAATAATCTAGATGGTAACAGCATGGGGACTGAAAAGCCTAGAGAGCAAAACAAACAAATAACAGGTAAATATCAATCTGCATTTACTCTTTTACTACACTTCTCAATAATCAGTTTAACTCGGTGAGGCAGAGATGCGGAGAATGTTGAACTTATTTACTTGGATTTACATTTTCACTTATTGTGAACAACCATCGTCAAGTTGATGGAAATATTACCATCTATTGAGGATTCAGTCAACCAAAATCACCTATACAATATGTTAATACCAATCTTAAAGTATGCTGAATACAGCAGGTTAACAATACTGAGCTTATTGTTTCTACTCGAAGAGTCATAGTTCCCAACTTTTTAAGTCTAGAAAAAAGGGAAATGCTCTGATGATAAGCATAGTAAAGCCGGATTGACCAACGTGATGTTTAAGACTCCAGGTCCCATGCTAATTTGAAGCTTGAGAGAAGTACACTAAAAATTAAAAGATCACTATGGCATTCGATATGCGGTTGGAAATTTCACCACACACAATTACCCAGATACACGAACCTTTCGACTACTTCCAGCAGCTCACCATCAAGGGTGAGCGCATTCTCCGGCCCCTTGTAAAAGTGCTTCCCACTACAATGGTGCAAAGCACATACCATACTTATGGATACAAATCGTCAACTGATCAAGTGTACTTGAGTAGCGTGTGTGTTATCACACAGTAAGACGATGTTATCCGCATACTGAAAGTCGAAGAGCTTTTCTCAGGGTAGTAGATCTACACAACCATCACGCACTTCACGATATCAATCTAAATGATTGCCTTATGGCTATCTCAGAAAGACTTTGATTCCTAGTTATACATGCAAACCAGTCTCACAGTACCATCTGTGATTTCTATGCACTAAAAGATCCATCCTTTACCTTGATTAGTTATTTCCTACCTCCATGCCTAAAATCGTCAAGTGGCAAACCGTCAGTTACTGCTGCTTTGCACTTCTTCAACTTGGACAGGACTTGGAAAACCAAAATCTATGTCAGATTCACGAACAGTGTGGATTTTGGATAAATGAAGCGTTGCTGAGGGCCAGTTGAACTGTTCTTCAAATTGTTATGCTCAACGTTTTAGCCACCTTCCTTGAGAGGTTATCAAGGTTCCATCGTTTTCGGGGATGGTTTCGCTAACTATCGTCTTCTTCTTGCCGGTATCCTTAATAAGCTTAAATAATTGCCGAGTGTTAGTCAACGCTGATGCCTTCTCCACCTCTCTTGTTTTCGTCATCCACCACTGCTCATGATCGACGCGAAAACTCTTGGTCAACATACATGTAAGTTGCTTTAGCTTTTCATTGTGGTTGGAACCAGCCGGAATCAGTCTTCTCGTATCAATCGGTTCAGATGACGTTGCAGAAATCCAACGATGTTTGCTAACCTTTTCCGCTACTTCTACAGAAGGCTTACTATTACACCAAGTTTCCTCAGGATGAGCATTGCTGTCACGCTCAGATAAATGCTTTGCTAACTCCCCTCTAAATGCGTGCTTGGCGTCCTCGTCTTCCACTCGAGAACAACAAGGTTTTACTAATCCCTGTTTCATGTGACCAGTAAGTTGCAGACATACATGAGCCGGTATTAGCGCACGATCCGACTGCTACATGGTACTCCAGAAAGAACGGGAATCCTCCACCGATCTTCTCTAACGATGGGTTACAGAAATATCATCTATATGTGTCTATCGTTAGTTTGATGTCAGCGGAACCATGTGAGACTGTCTCGCTTTCCGCATAAAGTTAGTACCGGCCAGAAACAAGTGATTGTCGAAACAAAATTGCAACAGACGATCACCGTTTTCGGTTTGTTGGCATGGGATTCCGTAAATACTCCCTAGATACCTTTCCGTTTGGTTCAACTTCCCTACATGAGCATCGAAATCACCTGCGATTATGACTACATCTGAACGTTTTACTTTCTGTAAGGAAATTGACAGCTTCTCATAGGATTTATCCTTTACATCATCCGAACTGCAGTCGGTAGGTCCGTAGGCGACTACGAATAGGTGTCGTCTAGTGTCAACTTAGACCGTTACGCAGTAATGCCTGGTCCCATGTTGCTTTTGATGATGATGAGTTCCATTATCCTTCCTAGGTCTTACACGTCTATTCGGTCGAACAGGACATAGACGGCTGTTGACTGGTATCCAGTTGAGAAACGCACTTTCTGCTCTACAATTCAATACTATACCCACACCAGCGAGTCCACAAGAGTTAGTCATTGGGTCTCCGGATACACTTCCGGTGAATTTTGAAGATTTATTACCATAACCGGGTGAGGTCAATTTAATAATCACACTCGGGTCCTGTATGCATGTCTCACAGACACATCATGCACCCATGGCTAGAGATTCCAGAGTTTTGGCGAGCAGTCCTTGCTGTCAGATTTAGCATAGGGTTCGGACGTTGAAAGCTCCTACATGAAATCGATGGCGGACTGGGGGGAGGGTTCTTAGGAGGCTAGGAATGAGGTTTCGATAGCTTTGGTTGTTGGCAAAGGTCTCAGAATGAGAGGTTGGTGGAGGTGTAAAAGGCTTATTATTAATATTAGAAGATTAAGCAAAAGGAGGAGACAAAATTGAGGAGAATATGTTATGTTTGGTTGGGTCTTGTGTACTACTGGGAGCATGCAGGCGGTTGACAGACACTTTTCAGCTGCCCACATTTCGGAAGGTTATTTTCCTTAAGATGACTGAGATAGAGAAAGATCTGTGGGACTACAGAGCCCATGGGACATCTTCTTGGGACCTGTCACACATGACCCTTTGTAGGATGTTGCTATGCGGTTCGCTTGTTTTAACATCAGATGGACAGAACCCATACCGCCGGAACTGAAAGACAGTAGGACAAGGAGGCGTGTGCCACTTTTGAGGTCGACCTCTTCTAACCTCCCCTTCCTACAGGGAGGACAGGAGCAAAGTGATACTACCAGTGCTTTAAGAGAAGGGCAACAGCACTTACTTTCACGGTGTTAACAGCCTTATATATAGTGGTGGTTCTAGAGTGAAGGCCTGGTGCTGGTTGAAGGATGACAACAGTAAGGTGTTCTTCGCAGCCGACTAACAGTTTGTACTGATGCCACCTTCGCTATCAGAATAAAACTCCTTCTTATCCTGTGTAAGTCCACTACCGGTGGAATGTGCTTTTCGTGTCTAGTGGTGGACGAATCAAATCTCAATCCAACACTTAAAAAGGCAATGTGTGACTGACCTCAAACGACTGTTGTGTAAGCTCTGCTGTCACAAAAAACTAACCCCTTTTCTCTTCCAGACACCTTGATAAAGAAACTTATACCGTGCGAGCAGCCCGAAAGTATCAATTGCCCACATACTACCAGCAGTATACAAACCTAATCAACCATAAACCATCTTTTAACTTGTCTCCTTCATTACCTTCCCTTTCTGATATCAAAATAGGCCTATTACAACTTTCTCAATGTCTCACCTTGCGAATACTGCTAACGAACCAAACAAGTGAAACACCATTTTGAGGTTTGTTATAACTAGGCTGCCAATTTTGCAGTGGAGCTTTCAATATCCAAATTGCACAACAGACGTCTTCCAAAACTCTGGAGCCATGAGTGCACTTCATGTTTCTGAGACATGCAAACATGACCCAAATGTAACTATTCACTTGATATCACCTGGCCAATGTGATGAATTTGCAAAATTTACTTTAGTGTCGAGAGGTTTAAAGACTAGTTACTGTAGACTTCATGGTGTGTATGAAACTAAATTGTAGAGAAAGCACACAACTGAATGGCAGCACAGCAGTTTGTGCAAAGAACTCGTGCGGTCTTTAGTGACCAGGACAGTCATGAAACAAGACAGAGTTGATTGCAACGCATTATGATTTTATTTTAATAGTTAGTCAGGTATCCCACCAGGGTCAGAGGTGACATCTTTTGGAAGATGCTAAATGGGTCCCATGTGTCAGAGCTGAGCTTTTCTTCTTACCACCATCCAGCAGGCGTATCTGGTATGGTAGGATCTTGAGGGAACAAGCGTTCCACCAGAATAGCTCGTTGGTTCATTGCGATTTGTTAAACCAACCACGATTTCCAGGTGGAAGCCATCGGCCGCTCTTCAAAACATCTGGAGGTCGCTTGTCACGTCCTACTGCTTTGCACCTCTTCGGGTTTGAAACGGTCTTCTCATCTTCTGGAACGTTGGAGGAACGACGTCCACGTCCTATTGAGAATAGAACTGGATGCTGGGCAACTGAAGCGTTGCTTTGGGCACATTGCACTGTTCTTCAGCGTTTTGTCGAAATTTTTAACTGTCTGCTTTTTGAAGTTACCAGAAACCCATTTTCGGCAATGGTCTCACTAATTGTCCTGCCAGTATCAATAATAAGCTACATACTTCAGCCCAAACCTCGACTATTTTACTAGTTTACTAACCGGTCCTAAGCCCGGATAATGAGGGACGGTTGAACGCATGGCTAGCGATCCTACCTAGTTAAACCAATCTAACTGCTACAGAAACTTCACAGCACAAAGAAAATATACGAAATAAAATTAAACTTATCCCTCGCTGGAATCGGAGAGGCGAAAGGACTCCACCTGGTTAAAGCCTACCTTCGGGAAGCCAATAGGCCGATATGTCTTCCCTCCCTCGATAAAAGCAAAAGTAAGAATGGGGATATGGAATGTTCGCACAATGTTTGAAGCTAGTAAGGCTACCCACATTGGGAAATAAATGAGAAGGTATAGGATAGAAGTGTTAGGAATCTACGAAAGCAGATGGAATGGAAGTGGACTCTCTAAGCTGTCAACTGGAGAGGAGTCAACAATCTACTCTGATACTGTCACTTACACGACAACCACGAGCACACTGAGTTTTGGAGTGGCTATCATGATTTTTCCTCCCAAGAGCATCGAAGGCTCTCCTTCATGCAGTGGGAACCAACCTC